TATCCTCAGACTTTCAGCAATGAGTGGATGCTGTGACTAGGGGGGAATGGCTATGCAATGGTATAGACATTCCCTATCACATACCTAGGAATCTAGCCTCGCGTTTGTGTGGCTGTAGCATAGATGTGTATATGCACATCTACAAATGTGAACAGAAAATTCTTGTCCGTATTCGACTGCTCTAGAGGGCTCCAGGGAGACCTGATAGCAGCTTTCCAGTATGTAAAGGGGGCCTACAGGAAAGATGAGGAGGCACGCTTTATCAGAGAGTGTCGTGATAGGACAAGGGGTAGAGGTTTTAAACTGAAAAAGGGTACATTTAGATTAGATATTAGGAAGAAATTTTTCACTCTGAGGGTGGTGAGACACTGGCATAGGTTGCCCAGAGAAGTTGTGGACGCCCCATCGCTGGAGGTGTTCAAGGCCAGGCTGGATGGGGCTTTGAGTAACCTGGTCTAATGGAAGGTGTCCCTGCCCATGGCAGGGGGGCTGGAACTAGACAATCTTTAAGGTCCCTTCCAACCTAAACCATTCTGTAATTCTATGATTTTCCTGTCTAAATAACCCTGAAATTTGTCTGATAATCATTAGCACAGTTAGCAAGAAAAAATTTTGCCAATTGCTGTTATGCCTAAGATAGGAAAAAGCCTTCCTACTGTTATGCAGTAAAGATAAACACAATTCTGATTTTTTATTTTTTTTAATCCTGTACAAGAAATCTTTAATTTTTTTAGCATTAAAGAAAACTAGGAAGACAGTGGTTTGTGTCAAGTGGCTTTTTCATAAAACCAAAACTTGTGCAGAACATTACTTGTGCAGAACATTACTTAATAGAAAGGATTTATACTACCTAGGATTTGTTATTAAGTTTAACCTGAAGACCTGCTTGAGGTTGTTGGAAAAACTCAAAATGTTGAGTACATACTTGAGAAGAATTTAAGAAGGTGATATATTTTTGAAGTACTGAATGAATGAAATATTTCCAGTTGAGGTGATAGTCAAATAGTGCACTTAATGTTTAGAAAGAATTTGGCTAGGCATCTAACTTTTAGTAAGTTATAAACAGTTCCTTTCACCTCTGTTTTGTTTTGAAAGGAGGGATGTAATCTATATTAATTTTTGGGAAAGGGGTTTTTTTAGTACCAGAACTTCTGTTGTGCAAAAAAATCTTCTGGAGTTTTTTAGAATCTAAAAAAAACCCTGTTACGGATGTTCTATATAGTTGTTAGAGGGCTAGTCAAATCCTAAAATTCAGCCTTTTCCAACTTTTTGTTACAATTTTTTAAAACGCGTATAAGCATCAATATAAATGTTAAATCAATAGCTGTGATATTTGGCTCACTTTTTTCTAGATTAACATTGCTTTTAAAAGTGTAATTGGCAATTTCTGTATAGATTAAATTTTTTAAATGAAACTTTTTGTTTATGAATCCCCCCAATTTGTTTAACTTCTGTAACTGTACTGATACTGTAACAAGGATTATCACTTTCTGAAAGATGACATTTCAGCTCTTTTGCTGTAGGTTGTTTTGCATTTTTTAAAAACAGTAGCTTTTAAAATTTTCTGTAGAGGACTTAATACAGTGTTTGAAATATAACTTCCTTGGCAAAGCTAATATAGTTGCCATCAAAATGTCATTTCAGATAAAATTTTAATGTATGAACCTATTTTTAAATATAAAAATTACTTCATCATTTGTTAGTGTATTGTTAGTGGGTTCTAATTACATGGGTTTCTGTCACATGGGCCTTAATCAAGTAGAGCTCAAGTCATATTGAAGTTGCACTTCTTGTTAATATAAAGCTAAATCTATGCAGTAATACGGAAATAAGTAAGACTTTCATTGTCCCTAATAACTATAGTGTTGTCTGGATGACTAGGGCAAACAGGAATTACTGCACCATTTTGCAGAACATACTGCTCCAGGTAGCAACAAGGAAAATTTTTTTCACATGCAGGTTGTGAGAAACAGTAACAGGTTGCTCAGAGAGACTGTAGACACGGTATCCTTGAAGAACGTGACTAGATGAGACCGTCAGCAATCTGATTGCCGAGTTATATTTAAGTAGGATGTTGGACCAGATGATCTCCCAAGGTCCCTTCCAGCCAGATTTATTACAAAATTCTTAAGTAGGAGAGATTCTCTATTTCTACAGGTCTGGATCAGGCCTTCCTAGAAATGTTCCAGGACCTGCTATTCTGGACTATTATATTTGCTTAGAATAATGTAGTCTGTGCCTTAGTTTGATGCGAGTGCTCCTGATAGTAGCATCAGTTACTCACTTCCTATTCATACCATTCTCTTATTTGTGCTCCTTCGTGTTTAAATGGCTCAAACAATTTGCTCTTGTCTTTGCAACAGTCCAGGATGCTGGATTCCCTTTCTTGAGAAATCATGACGCTGAGAAAATGTAATTCTTGAAACCTACCTTCCTAATTGTCATTCTACCTGCTAAAAGGATTACAGAACTTTAAGATCTTACTATAAGATATTCTACTATAAACAGTCTTCCTCAAAGACAGTCAGCTGGGAGGTCTTACCCAAAATACCTGCTTAAAGTTGTCTCTGAATTCTGTTTCATCTGATTCTGTCTTTGCATCCTCAAACCCCACTGTTTATTTGAAGACACTTTGCCTTGCAGAGAGTGCAGCTGTGTTTTTGTTTGAATTAAATCATTGAGCTTTTCATTGTGATGCAGATGTAGAATTCACTGAAAATAGTAAATAGCTTGTTGTTTCTTCCAGGAAACTGTAAGCTTTGTTTTGGGTTTTTGCAAAGACTTCTAACTGCAACAGCAGGCTCCATATGGATAGGCTACTCCGACAGGTTATTCCAGTTTTGCCTGGGATACTTCATGATCTGTCTGGCAGTATTCCTGTATAAAAGCGTGTAGAACAATGTGGAGTTCAGTCCACGCGTTCTCTTACTTTTCAATAGTGCAGGTCAGATGTAAATGATGCCAAACAGAACTTTTGATTATTTTTATAGTCACTTTTTAGTCACCAGCTTCGTGGCACCAGAATGTTTGCTGATAGATTAAATTTGTGCAGACAATTACTTGAAGTAAGAACACTTACTCAACTGTAGTAACCAGCCCTTTGATACATTGTCCTCACAGCTACAGAGGAAGCATAAGTCACAGAAGTATAAGTAACTGCACCTTTCTTTTATGGGCAAGCTACGGGCTGCTGTAACCTTTTAAGCAGTTGAATGCTTCAGGATCAATGATCTGAGAATTTAAGTACTGCTTTGGGGGTTGGACTAGATGATCTCTAAAGGTCCCTTCCAACCCAAACTATTCTATGACTCTACTAAAATCTTAAAGACACTTCTAGAAAATAATAAGTCACCTGTTAAGTATTGTACTCCCATTCTTGAAGACCTTTATGTCTAGCTTAGGAGCCAGTAGCTCCAGCGGAAATCACTTTTGTATGTCTTGTAGCTCCTTTCCCTGTCCAAGACCTTTTTACAATAATGTTAGTGTGAATCAGGTTATGACCTTCCTTTAGGACAGGTTCAGAGTGAGCTGAGACCATATTATCTAGTATCCCTCAGAGATTGTGTTAATGTAAGGATTTTGAGCTAACACTTGGAAAAGAGGCATCTAAGTTGAATTGGCTGGCAGATAAAGGCATGTAATTTCTCTTGGATTTTACACACAGAGAACTTCAGTCCTTGCTGAGATCTTCACGGCTCTTGGCTGGAATTAACCCTGCTGTGTGTGAATTTTTATTGCTTCCATCTTTACTCTGTGTTTACTCAGTGGACATCTATACTTACCTTTGTACGGATTATCTTTATTCTTCAGGACACTACTGTTGCCTGCTGATGTGCGGCGTAAAATTACAGGGAACTTGTTCCCGTTTTCACTCTTTGTTACTCTGTGGGAACCCTTAAGTAAGGTTCACTGGTTCGGATTTTTTATTTTTTTATTTTTTTTCAGTTTGCCTGAAAATCACTGTAAATCAATTCTTCTTTTCATATATGGGTATTCAGGAGGCAGAGCAAACAAGCTGTCAAGTTAGAGTACCAAAAGGTCGGCTTTTAGCAGTGACTGACATTAAATTAGGCTGAAACTGTGGAGTGGGGATTGTCTGGAGGCAAAAACACAAGGCTTGCTTGGGCAAGCATTGTAGCTGGCATAGAAAGCTGGTCTGGTCTGAAAGATGGCAAGACACCTGGCAAGACAACAACTTGAACATAGTTTAGAGTACAGTTAGTAACTGAAGTTACTGAGTTCTGTTAACCGTATTTGTATATTGATATCTAGTTATGGATTTTTAGCAACATTACAGATAATGCTACCTTGTGTCTGTATTTAAATACTAAGTTTCAGGCTGATGAGATTTACTGTAATTGGAAAGTTAGTATGTTATTTATGGGCCTGCCATGAGTGGATGCATCAGGTATTTGGATTTTGTGTTTTTCCTCTGCTTTGTGTTTAAAATAAAATATTTGCAGTAACATTGGATTACTTTGTGAAGCACAGAAGGAAAAAAATACTGTTGTGATCTGATACAGTAAGTGGGAGATAGCTTTAACAAGCTGTTTAAGGCTTATCAAATCAGCAAAGCCTTCTAATGGATTGGAGATTCAGCAATGTGCTTGCACTACGGCAAATTTGCACCTCTTTCTCATAACCATGTATGACTTCATATGGAATTACGTAAATAAGTGACCTTTCCTTTTAGGTGCTTGTTGTGTTAATGAGACAAATCTGTGTTTAGGATGTTCTTTAAATTTTGAAAATGCCTTTCCCTTTTGCTATTGCTCCTTTTCTTCACCTTTTAATGTGCACCTAGACCCAGTCCCTTCAAATCTGTACCTCAGTTTATGTGAAATTCCTGAAGCAAATCATGAAGTATTTTCACTGCAGTATTTCAGTGAAGTATTTTTTACACATTTACTCTTAAGTATTCTGAGGAGAAACAGACATAATTAAAATAGATGGATTGTAGATGATGCAATAAAGTATCATATATTTTTATCTTTTTCAAGGTAGCAGTGATGGTTCTGAACTCAGTGAAGAGACTTCCTGGCCAGCATTTGAAAGGTAAGAAGAACTGCCACTCAAAACCTGCATTTCTCTATTCAGACGTAGATACTTACAATCTCTCACTCAGTCCTGAAAATGATGTTTTATTTTAGTGATCTAGAGATCTTCTGTATGTAAGAATATTAATAAACTGTAGTAAGTTCACTGGATCTGTTAAAGCAGCAGAGAAGTACCTTCTGCTCACTAGTAGTTAATAGGGCTTTTGTCTAATTGGTGCTTACTCATTGCACACATTCTTCTAAGTAACTCAACCAGAGTACCATTAAACCCTAAATGATTTTTCTGGTTTTAATATTCGTATATCCTGTGTATGCTATTCACGTGACCTATCTGTTTTACATTTTCACTTTCCCGGAGATTTCATCTGTTCTTCATCCCTTTGTTCTTGGCATTGGCATTGTCACCTGTTTTGTCCCACGGGTTTCTCCCATCTGCTCTTCACTTCATTGTTACTTGCCCCTGTTATACACGGGAAGGCACAGTAATCCCCCTTGCTAATGCCTGATTTTGTGGTTCAGAACTAATATGCTGCTCCTTATCCAAATACCTGCTCAGGTGACATTGACCACGTCAATCCTTTCCCATGTTGTATTTAAGAATGTGAAAAAAGACTAAGACCTGTAGTTTAGTAAAAGGTGGAAATTTCATATTCCCACAGCTCGGTAAGATGCACAATACAGTGCATAGTTTGCTTCTATAATTCAATTTCGGGTGATCAATCAGCTTCAGAGTTGCCATGGATGACTTTCTACCATGCTTTGAAGACACGTTTCATAGAAATTTTTGCTGAAGAACTTCCTCCTTGTAGTCAGAAACTGTTATCTCAAACCTTATATTCTGCTTGCATTCATTGAAGCAGTTGAAGTTCTGTGTTACTTTTTGGAAGAAATCTTTGAAAATATCTCAGTGCTATAAATATGATTACATACATGAGGAAATGCCCCTATGATTCCGTTATGTAGGCGATAAGAGCATTCCATATGAGCACAGAAAGAAAATGGAATCAGAAAGAAAATCTGTAACTTGTATGTGCTCAGTGATGCAACCTGCAACATTCAAAAGGTTTTTTCTTGGTTTTTCTTCCCTGTTGCATTATGGAATTAATTGAGTTCAGGTTATTTCTCAAAGCCAAAAAGTTATGTGGGAAAGCCTTAGACAAAGTGATGAACTGTGTGTTTCTACGTTAAGTAGCATAAGAAACTTAAAATTTTAGTAAGGTTGAGGCTTAAGTTCATGTTTTTAGAGAATGGTAACACTCTCCAGAGTTGTGTGGACTTCTGAGACAAAGCAGACGTTTTTCATCCCTGTCATAATGAGAACTGGCTGGCCCAGACTCCCCCCAGTTAAAAGGTTTGCTCCATGTCAAACAGTTATGTCAGAAGATTCCTGCTCCTCCAAATTCCACTTGCCTTCAGTACTTTCCTCTCTCCTGAGAGAGCTCTTTGGGAACTGTGTTTGCAACTGCATGCTTTTGAGGGCGAGTTCTCTTGCCTGCTTCCAGGGAGAGGGATTGGGTTCCTTACAGACATTCAAAACCTCATGTGTGAAATTGCTAGAGATATGTGGCAACTGTGTGTCTGTTCCTTGTTTTATAAGATGAAGCAGCATATTTTGGAATTTAATAGGTAATACACTGAAATGCAAATGTTAAAATTCAAGATAACTAGAGAGAACGTCTGTCTAGTTTTCATCTGTACAGTGGTTTTCCATTCTTATAAAAGAGTTTTTAAGTGTGGGAGAAGCATTAATTTGCTACTGGCAAAATTGGGATACTTCCAGTGTTATTAATGATTACTTCCTATGCAGGGCGAAGGGGAATTCAATATTCCCCAGTGATTAGGAACAGGATCTTTGGGTAGGAGGGCTTAAATCTGCATAGTATGCCTAACAGGAAGTAATTAGATATACTCCACACAGATTCCCCGGGTAACAGATGGAATTGTATTAAATATTCCTGCTTTTCCTGGCCCTCCTGTGGTTTGTAACTGGGAAATGTGGAAGGGATGAAAACTGGAGCCACTGATTGTTTTTAAGTACAACAGAAACTTAGTCTGAAACTTGAGTATGATCTTTCAGAATTGGGGTATTCCCTTTAGGCTAATCAAAATTACTCAAAGGACTTTAATTCCAAGTCCTGACATTTACATCATGTTAAGGACAGTATACTAAGTGACACTTCAGTCTCATTGGTCTCCTGAGTGTCTCTGAATAGATATCCCTGAAATAGCTTGAATGCAAGAGTGATAGCATCCTTGTTATGCCAAAAACCAAGTTTAAAGGTAAGAAGAAAATGTATTTCATTTGCATGCAAAATATATGTACACACAAATGTACAGCTTATCTTACAGCTTTCGTTCCTTCATTTTAGTTATTACTTTATTTGTCTGTATCTTGAATGTATTTTAAAAAAATATTTAATAAATTCAAAGATATCAGTTATGTTTTAAAAAGATGGCATATTCTGGGATAGATTAATAGAAGGTAATATATTAGTGTCTTTTTGATAATTCTTCCTGCAGCAAAGGCAATAGTTTGAGCTGGTTTAAAAACAAACAAAAAACAAGAAAAAAACCCAAACAAAAACATTCTTCTTTAGTGCTGCTGACCTTTACTGTGTCCTTTCTTTAAGACTGTTTAGTTTGACTGCTGTATGCTACTCTGAGTTCAGACTGAAACATGACATTGCTACTTGTTTGTTTTCCGTTCGGAGAAATACAGCCCTATCCAGTGAATACAAAGCCCCTCTCACAGGTGACAGATTGTTAGATTTACAGTATGTAGGAGATTTTGTCCGCAATATTCTCATAATCTTGTACATAACTGCCTGCTTCTGCAGAATTAGAGCTGATTTTCAGTCTTTCAACATATAATACAAGCAAAAAGGAAAATGGATGAAAAATAGCAGGTGAGGACAAATTGCATATGCTTCTGTTGATTTTAATGGAATTCAGTCAACTAAGAGATCTGATCCCAAAAAACAAGGTTCAGTGAAACAAAGCAGTATTCAAAAGGCAGGTCTAGAATGCAAGTCCTGGCTATGGATAATAGTATAGATCAGGTTAAGGACTCTAAAATGTGAAGTTTATATGTGAAGTTTAAAGCTTGTATGAAATGGAGAATTGAAATGTTGCTTAGCTTACTTTGTTACTTAATATAACAGTATTTTAAGCAGTGTCAGTCATATTCTAATAGTGCTTTTGGTTCCTTTCAGCCCAACAGCTTGTGTGTGTGCATACTCAGAATTTTAATAATTTTTTGGTAGCAACATCTATAGTCAGGATTTAAAGACATACAAGTTTTATTAATGTGGTTCCTTGACACTGATTTAATCTCTAAGAACTAAATGCAGACTATGGTCTCAAAATGTATTATTCTTCAGCGCCAGTAAAACACTTCAGTGTCATGAGTACTGACAAAGAGAACATTTGATGAAATAAAAAACATGGTATCCATACCTGCATGCATTTTTCGAAATAAAATTATCCTCTGTTTCTTATGTGGAAGAAGTGGCTTTGTGATACGCACACGAAAAAAATACTGTGCTGTTTTACCAGTCGTGCTGTTTGTGTGAATAAAAGTATATGTAATACGTACAATTTATAATGGAATCCAACAGGAACAGGTTGTACCATTCTCTCGGTCCGGGGACAAGAGTGTCACGAAATGGCTATCGAGGCCACATGAAGGCCAGCAGGTACAATCCCCACTGCACACAGAGGTGTCAAACTTTCCCTCTGGTGTTGGTGATTTGGTTTGGTTTAATAATTAAGTGGGTGTTTTCTGGTGTTATCTTTCTAACTTACATGTCAAAATAAAGGTAGAGACCTTTTTCTCAGACTTAAAGCTTTCCTCTCTATGACTTAATCTGTATCACCATGAGGGCTTTTCTTCATTCTCATCTGCAAATCCAAATTCTGAACCATTGGATCTTTACGTGAAGGCTTAAAGATGTTTTACCAGAGATAACTTTTTAACTGCCCACCACTGCGTAGCAGCGTTGGTAGTTCTCATGTGGACAACAAAGCTGCTTCTTGTGCTAATGGATGGCATTCAAGATGTTTTCTTTGGTGGCAGTTCTGTATTGAATGTCTTTTCCCTTCTTGCCCGAAATAAGAAATATGGCTAAAATGAGCAACACATTAAAATTGGCCCCAATTCATTATGTGTAGTAGTATTTGCAAGCTGACATAGTAATATAAGCAATTGTTCTGATTAATTAAAATACAAATTCTGTCCCCAGCTGTGTGGCACTGTAGTGGGAAAAGAGTAGCCATTAACTATGAAATTTTTGTCACGTCAAGAAGCAAGCATTGTCTCACTGAATTAAATTCACGTTCGCATCTGTCAATGTCCAAAATTGTCTCCATATCATCATCCTCTGTAGGTGCTGCAATGAAAATGTTTGCTAGCTTTCCAATTTACTTTGAACGTTCATGAATGCTAGGATGGATGAAACAGCAACTCCTGGCTTCAAAATGAGTTTCAGATGCTGTTCCGTTTCTTGGCTTTCCTAGAAAGCTGCTGGGTTCAGCAATTTAGTTATGTGCTCTGATTGACGTTTACTGAAATTATTTCTGTTGTAATCTTTTTCTGATTGAGAATGTTTTGTAAGCCAGTCAGCTTCGTAATTTTAAAAAAGCTAAGTTTCCTTTTCACAGTGCTGGACCTGGCATTTATTTTGTCCCATTGCTCTTAGATCCTACATAGGGTCAATGATTAGTAGAGCACCAGATGCATTAAGACACCTTAAAGCTATGGTTCAGGTTTCTAGTCCTTATTACTGCTCCTGCCCGTTCTTCTTGCTTTCAGATATTTTAAAGAATTGTGCATGTTTGAGCTGTGCTTCGTTTTTGATGTGCTAATGAGTCCAGTGTTTCTAACAAAAAATACTCAATCTTTCTTGCAAGGGCTGAAGGAGAGGTTTTAACACCTACAGCAACAGTATGAATGTAATTCAAACGTTTGCTTTTTAAACTTAATTGTTCTTGTATTTCAGTTGTCTTGAGTTTTATTTTTTTTAATTAAGGATTACCTGCTTGGCTACTTAATTTTTCTGATCACTTTTGCTTGTGAGTGTAAATTCCACAACCTCAATTCCTTGTAACAGCCAAAGTCTTTTTCCACAATGAAGTCCAATAAATAAAAAGTTGACATTTCTAAATTAAAATACAGATGTTTGCATTAGTTTGTGGTAATGATTGGAAAACTACTTTAGGAAAAATGTTTTTTTCACGCAAATCTTCATATGCTCCTTTCAGCTCCCTAGAATCTGAAGATTTGGCTGTTCATTTGTATCCAGGAGCAGTTACTATTCAAGGTGTTCTCCGGAGGAAGACTTTGCTGAAAGAAGGCAAAAAACCTACAGTAAGATTTTTAATTCATTTTCTTACCTTCTTCCTTTACCCAGTCATAAATACAATAAAATGGCCATTGTGCAGCCAATCCAAGTATCTGCAGTCTCCTCTGCCTTGCTGATTAAGGTTTAGGGTCACTGCTAGAGTTTGCATTCTTCTGTTTGGTGGATTTGTCCAGTTTGTAAGGTTATACCCACAATCTAGGGAGTAGAAGAAAAGTTAAAAGAGAGGAGCGTAATTTGTCTTTCTGAACAGTAGGTGGATCCTAACAATTTATCAATAGATAATAACCCTTAGCATTTGCATCACATGTGCTTGATTGTGAATCATAAATCAAAACACATATTCATGACAATGAGGGATACCCTATGGCAGTACATAAAATGGAAAAGGGACATATGTACTTTAACTCAGTGAAGTGTTCGATAAGGGTTGCAGAAAGTATAGAATAAAATGCAGAACTTTTTTCTCAGATTAGTGAGGAAAGGCATGTTCTTTCCACTTTCTAGATTTTTAATGCCTTCAGACGCCTACACGAATAACTGGAAACAGCAACTTTGGAAACATGGCTGATGGTTTGGTTGGACAGTTAGTGCTGTCATGTTCTTGCAGGATGATGCCTGCTATTTTACATCTCAATATTATGAAACATTTTGCTTATCAGTTGCACATTTTCTGTTTTCTCTCTAGGTAGCATCTTGGACAAAATACTGGGTAGCACTGTGTGGAACCCAACTCTTTTACTACGCTGCAAAATCTCTGAAGGCCACAGAGAGAAAACATGTATGTAAAACGTGTATTCCAGTATCATCTGCCAAAATTAAAATGTAATTTCCTGATGTAAACACTGAGAATAGTTTAGGACTTGCATGATTTCTAGTCAGCACTATCCTGTCTTCCAGTCAGTCGGTCACCTCATATGGATATGCCCTAATGGAAATACCATGCAGGTTTATGTGCTACACCAAGAACATCTGCTTTGCATGTGTTATGGGTCTCTTTGAATGTGTTGGTCTATAAGGAAGGGAACTATGTCGTTGGGTCTCTCTGCTATTTCTAAGGTAGAAGTCGTATCTTTTGATGATCTCTGAGTCTTGCAACAGTTTGTTGCTACTTGAAATCCAAACAAGCACTGATGTGGAAAGACTGAGAAGTCACCACATAAGACATTAAACATGTACTGATTTTATATATGTGGTAAAATTAGACTAGCTTCTTTTTCTGTCTAATCCTGTAATACATTAGCTACAATGGAGTACAAAACACTTCATATGTTATGCAGAGAACTAGCATATCATATGATGCTGGCTTCCCTTTAATTCGCTGCAACTTTATTTGAAAGAAGCTCAAAATACTTTGCTTATGTGGGAAAGTAATAAAAGGATTTTCTGTAGATGTTCCAGGGATGTTATGATGTGCGTAGTTCCTGTTTTCGCTGGTTAATTAGAATGGAAGAGGATGCCACCAGAGATTCTATTAAGAAACTGGGTAAAATTTGATCTTGGATCTTCTTCTGGTTCATTCACTACTCTGAACCATTACTTATAGTTGTCTCAGCCAGTGTTTAAGTTTAATTTGTGACAACTATCACTGAAGAACATTTGCTTTGTGTAAAGCTTATGTAATTTTACAAATTGAGATGTGCTCCTAGAATCTGTGTAAGGGGACTATATTATTTCTTTTTGGTGCAAAATACCGTTTTCTTACCCTAACGTTCTTATGTTCAGAGGGTAGAGAATTGAAGCTTAAGATTTCTGATTAGTAGACTCCTGGATATTTGAATTTTCTATGTGGAAAGTTTGTGTGTGGTGTTGTCTTAATCTACAGAAAATTTGAGTGTTTTCTACTTTTATTGAAAGTAGTTTATTAGGAAACAGTATGCTAATACTTAAAGTAGTTGAGTAATAGCTAAATACTTGTAGAAATATGTGCATAGTTTCTTTGCCATCATCCATCTGCCCTGCCCCTACTAGCTTTGATTGCTTAGGTGAAATCAAAACTGATCCTGCTTAATTTGTCTTGCCAGTTAGGACAATACTAGCCCAGACCAAAGGCCTGTGAGCCAAGCATCCTGTCTTCTGCATGTCTTTAGAGAAGTGCATGTGCTTGTATGCATGTGCTTCTGCCGTCAGGAAAAACCTTATGGAAGGAGTCTGCCTCATTAAAAGTAAAGGTAGTTGGAAAGAGCCAGACTTATAAACTATTATGAGCAGAAACGCAAAGTATTAAAGCAAAAGAAAAAGGAAGAACGAAGAGAAAACTTGTGCTGACGTTGTCACTAACAGTTAGTAGCTTGCTTTTTCTAGAAACATTGAGAAATGGAAAAGAATTATTTTTTTTAATGTCAGACTTTGTGCTCCTGTTACTGACGTGATGCCTTTAGGCTTTATGCCAAAATTGCATTTTGTTTTCTTTTAAGAATATGCATTTTGTAAGTCTCTCTTGTCCACTGTCTATCAAAGTACTGAAGGATGGAAGACTTTATCATATTTGTAGCTACTCAATCAGAAGCTTTTTCAGTATCGTGTATAAATATTTTAAAACAATCTGAATAACATACGGGTTTAGAAGACTTGGAAAAATTGCATAGCTGGTATTTTATTGTTTGGTAATTAAGTATATTGAATTTTCATGTGGTCCATTTCCTTATACATTTCCTTCAGAATAACAATTTTAATCATTTAAGTGGTCTTGCCCTTTCTTTAGGAAAAGTAAATGAAGTAAAAAGGTAACAAATGTAAACATTCAGGTCTGGTATCTGATCGTCTCGAGTCTGTTACTGCAAAAGCCTTTACTTTTGTGTTGAAATGCGGTCATATCCTTTTAGAATGCTCTTCAAAAAATATTTTCTGAACCTGTTGAATTGACTTTTAATATTTCCCAAGTCTCTGTCTTGATACATACAACAGCTAAACCACTAGTGAACAGAAACTGGTGCCTAAGAAGCTAAATTCTGTTTCCATCCTTATGTTCTCATGTTTATTTGTCCAAGGATGTGCCAGCAGACCAATAACAAAGTTTGCAGGTAGAGGCTAGGAGACATTCAAGTCCATAAAGCTGGCAAGATTACCCATCAGAAGCCTGCTAGCATTACGACTTGCAAAAGTTAGGCGGAGTTTGAGCAACACAGTTCCCAGGAAAGGGAGACAGAGGAGTGGTAGTAAAAAGCTGAGACTGCTAGAGCAAATTTAATTTTTTTTAACAGTTGGCTTTGTGGAATTAGACTGAACTATCCAGCACAATCTTGGATTTGTCTGTACACAGCTGATGTCCTGTTTTTAGCTTGTTAGGGCAGCAAACATATTGTGTTCTGTTTGTGGATGCAAAGCATGTTATGAAGCTCAGGTTTCTGATTTGGTTTCCCAGGTGCATGATTAAAATAATGTAATACCTGTTAGCTACGGTTTGGATTATCCTTTATTTAAACAAATAGTTCACAGTAACTGCACACATACTTTTGCTCCAAAGTTTACAATAACGCAGAGTATAATCTTTATGCTGAAATTAAGGGGGAAGATAACCTGGTAACTGCTGTGGGAGACTGAGTTTGGGGGCTTAGGGACAGAGGCTCCGGTTTATTAAACAGCCTATAATAGGTGGTCAGTAACTTTGTTCAGCTAGTCTACCTGTGTTGTACTTTCAGCTTAGCCATTGATGGCTCAGATTTCCATCCATTTCACTACAGGGGCTATTGTACAAAGCCTCAGCTTTTGTTGTGGAGTCTGTAAGATGATTTGTCAGGTGTCATGCTGCAATTCACATTTGGTTGCCTTTTCAGAAAGAAAGTTAATCAAGAGAGAATGAACTGTAGATAGTCAACCATCTGCAGATAGCTAGCGCATGAGTATATGTTCACTGTACAAATACTGCCCAGTTATATTCTGAAGAGGTCCATTCTGCAAAATAGAGAGATTTGAGGCTAGATCTAGGTTTTGTTTTGTTACTGTCTAGATTAAATGGATAAAAAGGATGATGCTGTCTACTTTGAAGCAGGTTTCTTTTTCAAAGATTGATACGTTTGAGATTTTCCTAGGTGAAATATTCCAAGCATCTTCTGGAGCCATGTAACATCTGTCTTTTCAGCTTCCTTTCTCAAGGCCTCTGTGACATGGAAAGGAATACTGGCAATGAAAAAGTCAGTCTGCTATATAAAGTTTCCTGGCTAGAGCTCTCATGGTAAATGTGTCTTGATTACAGGAATGCTTCTGACCATTCTGCTGCTGCTATTGCTTCAGGCAGCTGAGACTGAGGACTTGGAATGCACTGACGCTGAAGGCTCTTCCAGTCTTATAATAGCCAACCTCTTTGGAAAATTAGTTCATAAAAATCCCAATGTAATCCAGCAAAAAGGGCAAGAAGTCCCCTCCCTTTTAGATATGGGCGAGCCATCTGCTCTTCTCATGCCTGTGGTCAAAGACAAAGGAGTGCATCCAGTGTAGTGTGTATTCTAGATGTGAATCTAGTCCAGAGGAAGAGGATGCTGTAGATACCTGGATGTAACAAATGTTCTTGTAGTGCATCTACTAAGAAAGACTACGAAATACAATGAGCTTTGTATTTTAAATTGTGAACAAGTTTCAGTTATTACTAGAGTAATGGAGAATTGTCTATAACGAGCACGTGAACGTCAGAGACCAGACGTGGTACAGGAGAATCTGAGAGGAATATGTGCAGAATGCCTAAAGTTTTATCTCATATGCTGAAATGGTACCCACAAACAAGCTTCTATCATAAAACTATAGCAGTTGCACACCTTTAGAAAAGCGAAATAGTAAAAATAGCCAACTAGAAATTAGTCTTAAAGGAAGCATTCACCATGAAAAATGTAAGTATGCCCATAAAAAACTGTTCTTAGTGATTGGGCTGAACAAATCTTGCCAATTTCTGTGACAACATAGCATGCATGAGGGATTTTTCCATGTTTGTAGGTATTTGGAAAAGCAACAGAGACTTTTCGAATCTTCAAGCTGAAGCATGTTCATTCCAAGCCTTCCATTGCATGTTATATTCAGAATTAGATCCATTTACTGGCACTAGAAATCTTGGTAGTGTTGCTCAGGCACTGTCACTGAAATACCCTGATAAAGAATGCTGTCATTCTATGAAGTATGTTCAGCCACCAAGAAAATTATTTGAATATTAGAATGCTGTAAAATCTCAACAGGAGATCAGGAGGAGGAGATTTGTAGGTGCCGAAAGGCTGGAGTGAAAAGTCTGTTCACAGATTAATTCAGTTTTTGATTTGCATATAAATGTCTTTGAGCTCAGAACAATAACAAAAAAAACGTATTTATGTGAAGCCTAGCACCAGAGCTGTGTAGTTTTCTCTGTGTATAATAAGAGTGTCTATGTGTCATAAGAGCGTTTTATACAGTGGCATGTATAAAAAAAAAAGTAGTAAAGAAGAACCAGGAACATTAAATTACAATGAAGCTTTCATTCCCTTCATGTTAACAAAGCAGACTTGCTGTTAGTAAGGCTCTATGCATCAGTGGAGAATGAACTGCCCTGGGGGACTATGTAAACATGGAATACAAATCCAGTGGTGCAGAGGGATGCAAAACTGACATGTGTTTCAAGTGATGACGGATTCTTGCTGGCAGGAAACGCTTTCCTTGTGTGGAACTTCCTACTTTTTGGAGAAGTACCATGATTAATTGTTTTGACTAAAATGTAAAAAGCAGTGAGCTCTCGCAATTTTGATTGCATGGCAATTTCACGTATTGTATACCTACTGTTATGATATATAACTAAGATGAAAATAGCACATTTGCTTTCCAATGAAACTAGACATGAGTGCAGTTCAAGAGGTACATTGTTGATCTGTAACCTATTAAAACTGTGAATCAAATTTCAACATCTGTGAAAAGGACCTATTAATCCTTTGTAGGCTACTTGGAAGCTTGTGTTTTGCAGGTCTCTTTTAAGTGTAAGTTCTGTTATCTTATTTTTTGAGGTAATGTCTTCAGTGGGTCCATAGCAAGTCCTAAATATATACTTTCCTTTTTTTTTTTCTTTTCAAGAACTCATGAGCTATATCCTTATTTTACTCCCTGTCTCTGTCTTTATTCCTTCTTTCAGATAAAATTTCTCAACGTTTTTCATTACTGACTGGAATCTTCAAAGAAATTTTAGTTTCTATTTGGAAAGAAGTTATGTTACCTAGCTCTCACTGTAATGAAATGTTGTCTGATGGACCTTTATAATTGACTACTACTTCTTAGGAGGCGTTGCCAAATCTGTCCACTTCCCAAAGGCAGTAGAGTTACTTAACTTTAGTGTATGTGGTTCTATGGGTTTTATGAGGAATGGTTGTTTCCCACAGTTTTATCCATAGTAATATCAAAAAAGGGCATCCGTTCTGAAGTTTGGCAGGCAGGTCTTTCCTAAGAACAGTCATCATCACTTTTACGCTTAAGCTATCTGTACAAGCATCCCTTCAAAGTTTCCAAGCTTTTATATTTCCACTGACATTACACAAATGTCAACTGAACATGACTGGTAGGAACTTGTGATGGAACGGTTCCTGCAAGTGTAACTATAGCAACATAAGAAGGGCAGTACACAGATGATGCATTCAAAAGTTTATAAGATACAGAAAGACTGGACTCTTAAATTATTTTGAACTTGGTTAAAATACTTTTTGTTTCAAATATTGGTCTGACATTTGTTCATTTAAAGTTCTAATGTATTTTAAACTGAGGTTTAAAATGTAGCCTGTTGCACAAGTCCCAGACAGATAAACTTACTTGGACATTGAAGGTCTCCAGTTAATCTATGGTATAGATTAGAATAACATTAGACTTGCACTGGAATTTTATTTATAAAGTAGTTATATTCCCATATAGAGAATATTCTCATAAACCCTTACTTTGCTTGCGATACCCTCAAACTTATTAGCAGTAATGCTTCCTTTTGCTGAGCCAGAGTTCTAGATTTGCAATGGTAACGCAATGTTTCTAAAATTAAACAAAAGATATTTGATGCTTAATATTGTAAATTTGCTACGTGGCATTTGTATGAGGAATAAAAGTATTTTAGAACTATAAATTAATTTTAATGACTTAAAACATCCATGAGATTGTTTTAGCTTTATGATTTCTAATAATGTAATTAAAGACAGGTCAAAATAACTGTACTAATTAAGAGAGTAGGGATTTCACATGACAGGAGGAAGATGCATCTGATAAGGACGAGCATGTAGCAGAATTGGACCTTCTGGGCAGAGAAGGGAGGTAAAGGATAAGAGCACTAGGATTGTTGAAAAAAGTCTGCGTCGGACCCATGAATGTGGGAAGAGGACACCTGGAAAGTAAAGACTTGAGAGAAACTGAATGAATTAGGTATTGAGGAGTGAATAGGACTGCCCGAGCAAGTAATGAGAGGTGAATTGTGAGTGTCTATTAATAGATAAGCAAGGAGACCAGGGAGAAGGAAGCTTGTGGTTTGGAAATGAGTTCCAAATTGAGTTGACAGAGATTTAATGGGCGAGTAGCCTGGAACTGAGAGGAGAAGCATGAGAAGTAGAAAATAATAGTGACCGGGTGAATGGAAAGGAGAATGGGACCAAAGAGCTCTCAGGAGAGGGGCTAGTGTACCAGGGACAGGTACTGTGCTTAGAAGAGGCCCAAGTTATATGTCAATGTGCAAGTAACACCTTGAACAGGAAAACCCCATCATTTTGAATATCTTGTCAATAAATGAGCATGTTATGTTTGTTGAATCTACACCCTCGTTTCATCTATTTCATTCATCAGGTCATAATATTTAATTACACAGTTGTGTTATCTTGTCCACAGGACTCATGTTATGTGTAATTACAGACTGCCATCATAATTAATGCATGATAACTTTGAATAATTATGGCACAGACAAGTTTAATTCTTCTGTTTGTTAACAGTGGAGGGATTAGCTTTGCATTTGTTAATGCACTTTTTTTGAACTATAGTATCCATACACCTGTGCAATAATGTGGTGACAAATGCTATTGTGTTCATATAGTGCAATTTAGAGGTCTGTTGACACGTTTTGGGGGATTGTGATACTGCTTTTAATTTGTTTTGGGTATCATTTGTTGTGGTAAGTTCTGTTTTCACCAATTCCTTATAAAATTCATAAACTTTCTTAATTTTATGAAGTGCTATGCTTCCTTTGAAGTTATTCTGTGTCTTTAACAGTGTCACTGAGAAGAACTGCCCCTTTGAATACTTGCTCTGTGCAGTGCAGTCAGTCTGGCTGAAGCTTCGTGTTTTACTTCAGTTTACATCTCTGCTTGTATTTTCAGTTCAAATCCACGCCGAGTAAGAATGTGTCAGTGGTGGGCTGGATGGTGATGATGGCAGATGACCCTGAGCATCCAGATCTCTTCTTATTGACTGATTCTGAGAAGGGTAAGCAATGCTAGGTCCAAGGGTGCAGTGATTTCCAGAATAAACATTTGCTTTGCTGAGGTATTCATAAGCAACCAAATGAATTTGGAAGGATGTTACCTTTCCCTTATTCAACTGCTCTCCAACATGTCATGTTTGCCTTTAAAATGCATTGGAACAATTGTTCGTGGAGAATCTCTAGTCTTCATTAAGTTCTAAGAACTCTCCAAACTCTAACACCACCAGTTGTGATTTTTATTGAAGTATTCAACTGCGTTCTTTTAAACTATATTTAGACCACTCGGAGGCATTTTCACATATGTGAAAATGTAAGTAGCAATAATAAAAATAAAGTTCAATATTCAGCTAACGCTAGGTGCTTGACCAGTCCCCTCTCCTCTCCAAGTTAAAAAAAAAACCAAAAAAACCCCAAAAAAACAAACCAAAAAACCATCAGTTCCAATGTAGCACTGTTACCAGGAAAAAAATACCTAAGAGATCTTTACTGTTTTGCAGAGAAGCCTTTATTTCCATTACTCCAACACAGCACCCTGGTTTTCAGTTTAAACTGTGAAGGAATTGTTACTTTTCCATAGCATTTCAAACTATGCAGAAAGAGCATCATTAGAAGTTCTGATAAAGGATCCCAACATTATTGATTGCTTTGTGTAGTTCAAGTCTTAGTACATTTTATTTCCAAGCATCTATTCTAGCACCACTGATGTGTGGTGTAAATTATGAATGCTTGTCAGCTTAAACTCAGCAACAGCAACTTGAAATGTTTTTGTAATACTCGGCCTTTCTGAAACCGAGCAAGCACTCTATTAACACCAGACACTGAAAATTCTAGTCTGAAATGTATCAACATGTTTAGGAACAATTTTCAAATGTAGCTTTCTACAGTGCATTTCCGTGCTATCTTGCACTTCATTAAAAAAATATGAAATGATATTATAAACAAATTGCAATAATGGCAATGAACAAAAACATTTTTGTTGTATGGTTCTGAGAAATGTTTTGTTCTTTCCTAGTTGACACTGGTGTTAGTTGAAATCTAGAATGTTGGAAAGGAAGACAGGCAAGCTGAAACTTCTCCTGCACTAGGTCAAACAATTAAGTTGCACCTATGCCAGACAAAGTGTAAAGTTATATGAACCTTCTGCTATTAAATCTTTTCATAATGTTTTAATTTAGAGTTAACTTGAATACAGGTAGGGTTTAAGTATATAGTATTGTTTGTGTTTCTTTTACCATTTTTTTCTCTACCTTTCTCACTTAGGAAATTCATATAAGTTTCAAGCTGGAAACAGAATGAATGCAATGCTGTGGTTTAAACACCTGAGTGCTGCCTGCCAAAGCAACAGACAACAGGTGAGAGCAAGACGTTGAAAAGGGATATGAGCTGTTAAGAGCTCAGAACTGATAGATCTTCAGGATGACCGAGCAGTAACTGATCACTTTGTACGAAGAGCAATCTACTGAGCAGCCTGTACATCGATTTTTACATGCTTATTGATTTGCCTTAGCTTGGCTCTTTGTCCCTTTGCAAACAAGTCCTTGGAGTTTCTGTGGTAATTAAGAAAGATTTGGGGCTATCTTGAGGCTAATTTAAAGCAATTGGGGAAGTGGAAGGAATGCTCTAAAATATCTGTCCTGGCAGTATTTTTGTCATTGCCCATTTTAAAAAGGCTATTTTACAGTTATATAAAAAGCTATAAACTGCAGCATTCAATATCAATTCCAGATAACTCTCCCATAGTGCTATTTTGTCAGGTCTTGGGCATTCATGTTTTCAGTTGTTTATGTGTGTTTCTAAAATGTATTTAAAAAAAAAAAGTTTAGTCTTGGGTACATTTGGCAGACTTTGAAAGCAAAAGTAGAATTTTCCATGAATCAAAAAGGAAGGAAAGACTACTCCAACCGCTATTAAATTCTGTACCCATATAATTTCTTTCTGACCTTTTTCATCAGCAGAATCCTTTTTAAGTTACCGCTTTGTCTTCCTGAAATCTTTTTCCTTTGCACGTTTGTTTTTAGAGTTCGCAGAGCAAAAGTACTACTGAATTGCAAGGGGAAACAGAAGGACCTTTCCAGATCCTTGTGTGCTTTCTTGTTCAGTTCTGCTTCTGAGAGAAATCTAAGGAATAAGGAGGGTTGTAGAAGCTCCCTTGAAAGTATTTGAGACAGTGCAAAGGAGAGGAAATGGTGTTGCTAGCTGGAGAATGTGGGAATAGTAGCCAATAGTGGCAAAGAGTTTGCAAGAAAGTGGTGACTTCCAGGCAAGCCTGAAAACTGCCCTCTGAGGACAATTCTTATTCAGTAAGGCTTAACAATATTATTTAATGCAAACGGGTTTAAAGTATTCAGCCCCTAGCTTGTGCAAAAGCAGCAGGCTTAAGGATCTTGGTGGGGCCTCCTGTGGAAAATATGACAGCAAAGTGAAGATAAGTGTCGGAGATTTAAAAGAAAAAAAGGAGGGGAAGATTAATGAAGAAAAACCTACCACTAAAAGGCCAAAACCCCTGCTACCATTATTTGTTGCATATTTTCTGTTTCTGGCATGTTGTGCAGTTGTACTATATGGGTTCTTGCAGCATAGTTGCTTCCATAGCAGAAGCAGTGCTTCACACAGACATTAAGTTACAAAGGTTGGTTTACCAAATGAGTTAAAATAAATAAATAAATAAATAAAAAATTCCTGTAACACTTACTCACTTTTCTCTTGATCAGTATTTGACTTCTGAGCAGTGCTTTTCCTAGAGACATGCCTTATGGTACTGATTAAAATGGAAGATCTTCTTTGCTTGTTAACAGTATGACTGCTGAAGGAAAAACTGGATGTTTAAATGTGCTTTTGGTAAAGTATAGACACGTACCCAGTTGAGTAATATTGGGAACTATTTTAATAGATATTATTTTTAATTTAAATGGTGGAACTTTAGCCGAGTTGATCATTCTTGCTTCTACAGGTAAATGGTAAATGCAAAGCAAGAAATGCTCGCTTCAAATCGGACCAAACTGGGTATTTATTGACAGTCATCAGGAATGCGGTGGCTCTTTAATAACCTGAGTAAACAAGGGGTGTTGCTGTCAGGCAAATTCCTGATGGGCAGAAAATCGGGATATAAACTAATGTAATGCAAACTAGCTTTAATCTTCATGAAAGGGAGTGATGTCTGGAGCAGGCATTCAGGTTTCCTATGGGAAAAGCCCAGGCAAGTGTTTATGCCTCGTTTTTTTAAAATTAGTCTTAAAAATACTAGAGGGTCTACATCAATCACTGACTTGCGTGCCAAGAATTCTCTAGCTGGGACTCAAGTGAGAAGGTTCTTCTTGTGTAGCTTGGTCCTGAGATTTATCATGTTAAGGTTGTTTTGCTGACAACTTAAATCTCAAATGTCATCAAAATTATTAAGATCTAAGGCCATATAATAAAATTATAAACCACGCAGAAGTTTAATATTTTGGTTATACCTGGGTTTTCTACAGCTCTGCTGAATGATAGTTGCATTCCTCCTTCCCTTTTTGGAGACAGAATGAGTGGTAACAGTGTGTATTTAAACAGGTGGCTAGTCTGTGAAACAGTGGAATGTAAGTAGCTACTACTTAAAATCTGCTATCATTTATATTTTTGTTTTCAGGTTCCTGCCAACTTGATGACCTTTGAATAATAGGCTATTTCAAAACAAAAAAAGAACAATTTGAACCATCTCGTAATTGAGAACGAGGTCCTGATGAAAAATGTGCCAGCTGTATTCTGTGCCAGAACAGAGCCTGTCAACTTGATCTCTGAACTCTGGAGCCCTGAACAAAATCACTAATGGTTGGGGAGAAGAGTCCCCCAAATTAAAAATGGAGTTGCAACATGAATTGCCATGGACCATGCTTCGTTATATTCTCTGAACTGACCTGTGGAAACCACTGCCTTAAAGAGTGAGAGGAAAAACAACATGAAACACCAAATAGTGTGTGTGAAACTTCTGGCGGTGCTGTGCTTGAGTTAAATAGATTGTAGCTAGTTTGAATTTCTTTTAACTTTATACTAATTTTGAAAATAACTCACCTTTTTAGGCATTCTTAAGAAAACAAGTAGACTGGTATTTAAGAGTTGTATCAAAAGCTATGTATGAACCAGGTAAAAGAGGTACTTCACATTCTAGAGATGTTGTTTAGACTGTACCAGGAGTTCTCAATGGGAGCCTGTCCCAGGCACGCTTAGCCTGGAGCATTGTTATTTCTCTCAGACCTAGAAGTACAAGAAATGTAACACCTGCAAGTTTAAAATAGCAGTAAGTTTGCAAACCTTAGTACTGTATGGGAGCCATATTCTCTACAAGTGGCACAAAGGCTGAGCACTTACGCACCAAAATTTTTTTTGGTACGTAGTTCCCTAATTCCTGGTTAAAAACATAGTTCACGTGTTTTGGGTGGTCGGGGTATGTGCGTGGAAGAGACAAAACTGAAAGCACTGTTGGGTCAGAACTGAGTGTTTTCTTCCCATTTGTTTCTATACCTGTCACTCTCCTGACAAAAAAACCCCAACACCTGGGTATAGTTCATGGAGACATTTTACTTCTCTGGGTATCTGTTAATTATCAGTTAGGGACCACTGTCAGTGTATGGTGTTTCATAATGCCACTTAAAAGTTCTACGTTATAAAAAGATAGAGGCACAATTTCAAGCTTTCATGTTCTCATTTGGCAATAATTGATTTTAGTATCTGTCTTGGTCAAAATAGTTGATAATGTGTGGTGTTGATAACATGGCCTAAAGCAGACCTTGTATGCAGAAGCTCTTTTGATCTTCAGGCAAATAATAAATTTGTTAGAAGGTAGGATAACCTAAGGAGAGAAAAGGTGTGGGACTATCAAAATTCCGTCCTCAACAGGAATAATTCTTGGTCACTGAAATTACTCACAGAGAAGAACATTATGGTTGTGAAAAGGGAGCCATGCTTTATATGTGTGTTTTATGCTTAAGACTCTGATTCTTGCTTTCTTTGGCTTTCCTTGATGTCACCTAGATATAGTTTCCTGGATGATTAGTCTTTCTTTAATCCTCAAAAATATGATCTTTGTAAAGCAAGGAAACATTGTCCAAAATATGACTCCGATATCAGAACTTTGAAGTCTGTGAAAAAGTAGTAACTGTTCCATTGACATTGTGGTTTAGTGGCCGTAAATACGCTTGCAGATTCCACCATGAATACTCCTTTTTAAAAAGAAACAAGCTACCTACCAGTCTGTGGCAGAGTTCTCTGACTATCTAATAAAGGTTTCTACTAGTAGTTATTATTTTGAAAATGTACAGTTTGTTTATTGCATCTGAGTAGAAGCCTATAAATTCACGTTTTGGTTTTTTCTCCAGAGTCAAAGTAATCTCTTAATGGGAGTGATTAATCTCTGATTTCTTGGGGGCAAAAAAGAAGGATAATTCAATCTTACAGTAAAAAAAAAACAAAAAACAAAAACCCCAACCACTTGATGATGTAAAGGGTAATAGTCTGGTTTATGTTTCCAAGAATTGTTCTTGTGAATTGGCTCTTGGTAGAAAGAAAACAGTAGAAGGATGCTACTGTCAGAATTACACCACAAGCACCATGGCAATTGGTGTCTCCCTTTGCAAATTTTTTTGTTGTTTTGATGGGGAAGGAATAGTCTGTTCTGATCCTGAAGTCATGTATTTTGGGAAGGGGTTACTTGTGCTGAATCCCTCTGCAATTCACACATCTCCCAAGTTTACCCATGTTGGGTGTATAGTAAAGACAACATCTTCATAGCCAGCAGTGTTATTGTAGTAGACTTTGCACAACTTTAGTTTTGGGGTTTTTTATCATTTTGAAAATTTACTTAATGTGTCTTTCTGCTCAACGACTAAGTGTTTTTTAACAATATGTGTACTTTTTTAAGCATTGTGAATAACAGCCTGTGGAATTTGGATTTTTAAATAAGCTATTATAGGTCCATTGGAGCACAACTGTATCTGTTCTTCTGTTAGTGAAAGGAAACATGCAACTGTGAGCCACAGCCTGACATCACACAGCCTTGCTAAAGACAGAGCCAGGTCAGATGTCAATTGTTACTGGTTTTTTTTGTATTTTTCCAGCTGTTTTGAGTTAGGTTTTTATGGTAGGAAGATGGTGGGGAAAAGAGTTCACAAATTATCATTTAGTGATTTGTTGCTGTTTACCAGCTTTCATTGTTCGTAAGCCTCCTACTCTTCCTTGGTTTTCTACCCTCAGGTATGCTGTTTTTCGGGGGAGAGGTTGAATATTGTGGGAGAAGTTTCTTAAAATGTGTCACCAGAATAACTGGAGTGGTTAATGACAACACGGAAAACATTATTGGCACTTGTGACAATGAGTAGTTCAGTACTCTCCTATTGTTTATCTCCTATTTAGCCACGTAGTCCTACAGGGCAACACAGAAATACTGAAATGTTACATATTTTGAGATAAATGGTGCTCAGAAAGAGAAGGTGGTTTTGTTCCCTGAGGGAAAGCTGCCTCAGCTAAGCTTTGGAAAGACTCAGACAAGTCAAATACACTGTAAAGGATGTAGTAATGCTCTTTTTTAAATAGGGGGGTTAAACCAAAAATAAATAATGAAAAACAGTGCTGAGATAACAAGGACAGCAACGAGCTCATGGTATTCAGGTAAGACTGTCATCCAGACTACTTCATGTAGTTGGCAGTTTCTCTTTGATTTTATTTTTAATGTATTGCTCGAATTCTTTATCTTGTTAATAATTGCTGAAATACTTCAGCTAATATTTGTCACTTTATTTCTTAATGTTTTGATTTTGAAACTAAAGATGGCCCTTAGTACTATGTTTTGGAGGCATGTGAGCAAAAAGTATTCAGAGTAGATCTTCATAGCAAGACTTCGCATGTAAATGTTTATTACCTGCTGACTGCTAACCACTTTGTTAATTAAACTAACAGTTTTGTAAAGATTGAACACCAGGAAATGTCTGGTTTATGAAATTGGTGCAGTGTATTAGAAAAACCTAACATTGCACTGGTTGTTGAATACTTACAGCTAGCTTTTTTCTTTCTAACTTAATAGGTACTGCTTTTGGCTAGGTTTTTCAAACCTGACTTCTATTCCAGTGTTCTTAAAAAGCAAATCAGATTTATTTTTGAAAAATTCTGATAATTTTTCAAGCAAACATAGCTCAACACAGACAAGTATTTCATTTTGCAGACATTTCATGCCAGAGGTATATTACTCGGGCTATTATTATTCATTAAGTATTTAGGTGCAAGTTATAGGCGTCAAAACTACCAAGACTAAAGGAATACACATAAATACTTAATGAATGAGCTTTAGCACCCAACTTTAAAAGTGTGTTTCTGTTAGCTCTTTTAAATTACGGTGAAAACTCATATCCTACTTGAGAAATATCTGAAAAGGAAAACACTGTAGTGGCAGACATTATTTGTCAACTCTGCAGCTGGCATATTAAGCAGCCTCCTAGTTACACAGATGTTTTAGCCTCCTGCTTGAGGAATCTGTCTCTTTTGGGGAGTCAGCTGATCAACTTTCCTCCTCAAAACACAACTGTAGAGTGCTTGAACCTTTACCAAGAAAAGCGTTTCTAGAAGTATGCATATTTGAAAACATATTGGGAGCAAAAGAAAGCATAAAAAAAATACACCACAGCAGGATTTTATTAGTTATCTTTTCCTCACTGGAAGTAAATTCATCTAATCTAATTTTTCTTGCAACATCAGCCTCCTCTGTTTGCATTTATACATTTTCAACGACAGTCCTCCTCTATTAGTATCAGACATAAGAAATGTTAAAAGGAAGTGCTTTCCCTTCCAGCAGAAGTAATTGCAGGGGTTTTTTGTGCTGCTAAGGCACTTGAGGAGGTGAGGTCCCTTTTGATAAAAGGCAAATTGATCTTGTGGTTTTGGTTAACTGTAGCAAATCTTGTCCAAATCAGATAAGATAAATCATGGAATGTTGTTTCTTCTGGCTCTGTCAGTGGCATTTTTCTTCATTTTTTGGCCCATTGTTTTGGTATGCTAACGCACCAGCATTAGTAGTTCTAATCTTTTCCATGGCTGGCTGTAGTATGCTGCCTGTTGCAGGCATCGAGGCACCAGGGCTGGTACTAAATCACATCAGTTAATTACTTCTCCCTACAAGGACACATTTTAAAAGTTCTGTTATTATTTAAGTATTGCCCTTTTTCTTTAATTTTCTCTAAAAGTGGGTTGTGCATAAGGTGATTTGGCTTGGGGAAGTTGTTGTAAAACAATCTGTATGAGTGGACATTGAATTTGTTTGTAGGGGTTATGCTTTTCTTAAAGCCATCGTTCTAATTTGTAATGCATCAAGAGGGTGAGTGCTTGGATTTAAGGAGGACTTTTGTCAGTGCCTTATTATTAACTTGAAGACCAATTCCTTTATTTCCGTGCTGAGAGTACCACAATGGCAGTCTTGCGTACTGTGTCCTTCATGTACCGAGGGGTGACATTCCTTATAGTCACTGCATTTCTGCAGAAGTTAGTTGGTTTGGTCAATGTAAAATAGTTGTCGTTTGAGTTGCTTTAGGGTTTTTTTTTCTGTATTTAGATAGCCTCTTTTTAGGAAAAATGCAGAGATATTTGGTAGCTTGGGCTTGTTCAGCTTTTGTCAGAAGTAGCTCAGACTTCTTCAAAATTAATTTATTTTTATTTTGGTATGTCTCGAAGTAGATTTAGGGGGGAGGGGGGTAGCAGGGAATTGAAAAGGGTAGTTCAAGTCATGGTCCAAACCACATGAACTTAAGAGCTCACATTATTAGAAAGGAGCTTGCTTTCCTCTCTCCCATTTTGATTTAAACATTGAACAACATTCTTACAAGAAGATTTACTTCTTACAAGCTTTTAATTAACGCAAAATAAATACTACAGGAAAAAACTGTTTGGGGAAAGAGAAGGCTTGGATAAATCTTATTCTTAATATCTCATAAGCTCAGTTTTGTATGTTGTATTTCTACTGCCAACACTATGTAGAGAGTACTATCCCTCACTGAAACAACTGCTAGAGATTGTTTTAGTAGCAAGACTTTATAAGCTTTGGAAGGGGAAGTGAAAGAAAGAATGTATTGTTCTTAAGCAATTAAATATTTGTTTTCCTGGAACACATCCTTATAAAAACATAGCAGTTTTACTCTAGTGTTCATAAATTCAGATGTTGGAAAGGGAAGGATAATTTGCAAATTAATCTTTTGCTTTCTACGAATATTCAAAGACAATAGAAGGGTTAGGTCAAAGGAGAAAAGACAAATTACTTAGTTTAGCCAGGCCTGTTGCAGAACAGAGCTGACAAGTTTTCTTGAAGTTATGTTGCTAAGAAAAAAGGTGTATGAAACGTAATGAAATGCAAGTTCCTGCAGATCATGGCGTGG